TATTCTTCATCGATAAATGGACTAACAAACACAAAAAGAATTGTTCAAATCGATCCAGTAATTCCTGAGTTTAGAACATTCTCTACAATTATGATCTCAATATCTACATCTGCTTGAACTTTAATTTAAGCCTTTGTAAACATCTGCCATTTATCAGCAATCTTTAGAATATTGTTATCTTCTTATCAGTCTACCTGCACTAATCCGACAGTGGCCAGTCTCCGCATGAAATGCGTTTGCACATTTTTTCTACTTTCTGAAACCACTGATGACAACGATGCAGCAATTGTTTCATTTTAACCAGACTTACTATTGTAAAAAGAAGGAGATATTTCAATGCGAATTTATATAAAACACTAGCTACTCTCGCGTGGTTTCACCCGGTGCTCGGCTCCATTTGGTCGTTGGGTGATCTTTAATAGCCTATAGCAATCAGGACTATTGCATCAATCTATCAGTGAATTCAGAATTTTGGAAAACCGACCAGCGGTTTTAAAGATTATTCTCAAGATATAAACTAACATTTTCAAATTTTACCTCTTTATAATATTAGTTTAAAGTATAGAAGAGCGGTTTAGTGATATTATTTATCTTTCCTTACACTGCGTAAGGCAAATTCTCGACAGGATTTTCGCTTAGGAACTGGCTTTACTACATTGGCTGCCGGTTAAACTTTTCTAAGGTATCAAGAAATTATTCGTTTTCATTGTCAAAAGTACTTTTAGTCTCTAGTCAAACTGTATGAATGGCCGATTGTACTTGTAGTTCTGTTGGTTTGTTCATTCGACTGTTGTGTACTCCAAGTGCAGTGTTTTTATTTAGACCTTTAATGAATGTTTCAATGGTTAGATAAAAGTTATCTGGGTAATAATAATGATGCTGTCGCTTCAGAATGTTTGTATAAGACAGTAACAACAACAATTATATTCCTCAGATAACATTTATCTGACTCTTGAAAAATCAGCCCTTAATGATGTAATTAAACTATCTCTACAATAGTGATAGTTTAATCTTGAAAATTCAGTTTTATTTAGGTCGAGTTTTAAACAAAGTGGATCAATATTTTTGATTTTATCTAGTTATAGGTGCATATGTATGTATACTAATTCAAATCCACTTTTCACACACAATAAAAATTCTCACAAAATTTTTACTTGTTCAACTAATTCCCAAATGTTTCGTCCATAAACTGTGCCACCTCGTAATGTTTATCAATCATGATTGCTTTAGTTTTTACACTAACTACGAGCAGTTTCCAAAATACATGCGTTGGTATTTCATAAACATAATACCGTTAATAATTATAAGACTGAATTTTACTATGTCCATTTTTACTTTACTTCATTCTGCTTTAGCTTGTTCCTTTGTTGCGATTACTTGATTCTGCTCTACCTTGTTCCTTTGTTGCGATTACTGATTCTTTTCTAATTACATATTCATCTGCATCTAATGTTATCATTTCATCTTTTATATTTATCTGGATTTTTGTAGATTACAATTAATTTTAAGCCTGGTAGATATAAAATTGTGTGGATGTTATTTCAACAAAATTTATATGAAGTTGAATATTCATGGAATGGTTAGGATTACTTTTTATGTAGATTACAACCGACATTATAATTGTACTTGACAAAAACTTTAATCATTGATAATCTTTTCAATAATTCTATTTCTTGAATTGACAGTGTAAACTTTTGGGTCATTTAAGGGGTATGCATCGTTATAGTCTCTTTGGATTGGTGTTAGGATAAGATCTCTTGTTTCATCCCGGTTTATGTTAGCCACATAAAATGCTTATCTTATTCGAATAGATGTGCATTTTCTGCTCATTATTTATATATCAATTATGTTTTATTATACTAATTTTTTCGAAGTAAGTCTCCTTGCAAATTCTTTTCTCAGTGTATTGTTATTGTTGTTCTTTGAAGAAAGATCATCGTAATAAAATTATGGTCTACAATATGCATCGTCTCAATAATCATAACAATACTTTGTCGTGTTACAGAGATGTCTTAATTATTATCCTGTCCGAACTAATAGTGATGTTCTTATAAAATACCTATTAATCAACCTTCACCTTCAAACTTCAGCACTTTAATAATCGTCACTTATACAATGCAAATAGCGTTACAATTCGTTTGTTTGTGTGTGCAGTCCTAAATATCAACAAAAACATAAATCATGTAGTCGTAAAGGAAATGAGTAATATGGATCCGTCGGGTCCAGTCTATTTTATTGTCTCATCGACGATTATATTTTATCAAATCATTTGTTATTTTAATCTGAACTTTGATATTTGTATGAGAAGTCTCTGCAATAATGAACTTTTTGTTGTTCAACAAATGATTGAAATCAATCAGTAAAATGCTGCCTTTCCCATTACTCTCTTTTGATTTTAAAGTTATTTTAAATTACCAAGAAAACTAATAAGAAGAAATTGTATGTTTACCTAGCTCAAAATTTCTCAATTTTTGCACATGCCATGCGAGCGTGACAAAATCCAAGCAAAAAAATATTATATTGAAAAATTTTGTCGCATTTACGCTCCAATAAGAACCAGATTTCGTCTCAGCAATTAAAAAAAAACACCCAACTATTTAAAAAACGCCGTTTAATTTGTTTTTACGATTTTAATACCAATAACAATCTTTTTGCTTCAAAATGTCGTGTCTTCAGAGATGATTATACATGATAACATACTGATATACATGTTGATAAAAGCAAAGAATTTAAAATTTTAATAACTGCATAAGTTACTGAGAATGTTATAGGTGGAGATACTCCTAATAAGGTTTTATTATGAATTAAAGCTGATGGTTCTGGGTAATTGGAATCAGGACATGAAAGTATGAATGACATAATAAGTAAGGGTTGAATTGATGATAAAGATAAGGTGGATTTAATACATAAATTAGAACTGGAACAAAAACTACAAACTTGAGGATAGGGTAAGATAAAATTAATGAAATATTAGGCTTAGGGATGTGATATAAAACCTTTTTGTCAATGTCTGTCTGATTACTAGTGGGACAGGAAAAGTTAAGGAAATAAAAAAGTGCTATACTTATTAAATTACGAAGGATAAAACTTTTTGAAAAATTTTATCTATATTGTTCTGTGATGAAGTTAATTGCATAAAACGTCATTATCACAAAGAATAACAAAGAGAAGATAATAAAAGAACATTCAAATCTGGTAGCAGAATGTTTTACTTAGAACTTGTAGGTACTAGATCCAACATTTTTGCGTCTTAAGCATTTTTGGGTAATTCTTATTAGAAAAGCCTATGCTAGTAGCTTAATCGAATTCAAAATGTAAAAAACCACATTGTGCATTCCACGTAAATAATCAAGATTATTCTCGATCTCAAATTAAAATAACATGAATCAATATAATTTATACTTTATTCGGAATTCGATAACGTCTGAAGATGATTTTTTATGGAATTTTCTTAATGGAAATAAAATTTATGTTATTAGCTATTAGCATAAAGAGAAACAATTCAAAATTTTTATACAAAAATGATTTTTTTAGTAAAAAGTAAGAGACACCTACATTAAATATATCATATTTTTTTAACTAAAATTTCATTTCATTTATATTCTAATGTTTTATCTTCAGCTTATGACATTTAGGCATAATTTTTGTTTAACAGCTTAATTTTAATTTTCAAATCATTACCTTAGTTAACTTCAGCTCTCTCTATTATTTTAGCGTTAATTATCAGGAAGTTTTGAAGAAAGACATATTTATCAATTATAACAAAAGCCATAAACAATCACACGATGAAATGATTATTAGAATGTATATCTTCTCTTCTTTCATTTAAATTTGCATTTAAACCAACAAAATTTTCAAATCCTAACGGCGGCGTCGCATAAAAGCCTTTTCCAAATTTCATCTCTAAACCACTTTTATGAAACATAGTTTATTTCAGTAAAAACGTTTAAAAAAATATTGATTGTGGAACTACGCATTTAAATAATAACTTCTTTACAAGTTTCTAGAAAACATTTACCTCGTCAATTCGCAACATCTCGTCTTCACTCTCAAAAACATTAGGTTTTTCTCAAAATCTATCTCCTTTACTCAAAACATCATCCAGCATGCGGTATTTATTAATTTCTCATTAAAAATTATCATGCCAATTTGCCACACCACCACAATAATGTATTACATTATTATCTGTTAATTTCTCTTTACCAAACACAACACTTACCTAATATTAATTTTATATATCTTCGTTCATGTCACAGTTTAAATTATTATTTTAATTTGTATCACTCACTTCAAACACTTAAAGTTCACAAGTCACAAGTTTATTTTTTATTATTTTTTCTCTTTGTAATATTATACTGTTGCGTCGTTTAGTGCGCTTTTGTGAGTATCTAACTAAGAATCTGGTTTCTTAAATAAATCCGGTTCCTATAATTCATATAAGCGATTATAGTCGCGGTGTATATTAAAAAAAATCGGTTCTGTAAACAATTGGAGATCTAACAAAGCAGCGCTTCGCAGCTATCCGAAGCTGTACTGAAATTCTAAACCCTGACTTCGGTGTCCATGTCGCGCACCCCCCATTACTAAATTTCGTATCGGATTTGAAACGGCACAACAACAGAAGTGGTCCAAACTAGATCATACTTACACAGTACGTCATAAGGTTGAAAACTCAACAGCATTTGACGCTCAATCCGACATTCGACGAAACTCTCGACGCGCTACAAGGCTATGAGAACGTATAATTTAAAGACGGAGCTGCGTAAACGATCGACTGTATACGTTCGTCTCTCTCTAACACACGGAGGAGGTTGGGCAGCTTTTCGCACAGTGATGTCGGATTGCTCATTTTTTTGCTATTCAGTATTGAATTACGTATTATTTTGTGAATTAGATTGTGCCCTGGTGTCATATTTTACTCAGTACCTGGTATTCTTTTAACGGGATGGATCGGGAGGCAGGTTGGTAATCTCTCTTATCTCATAATCCAACAATTTTTGGTGCAAACAAAGTTTATTCTTACATAATACTAAAAATGGAAAATCAACACTATTACATTACGCTTACGTTAGTATTCGACACTTAATTGTAAATTTATTTTCTCTTCTCCTTGGGGACTGTGAAACAGTTGATTTTGAAATGGTTGCAGATTTGTCGTACCTGGAACAATTGAATTTTATTATCTGTGAGCTTTGGAATCATCTTTGTGTATATTGATTGTTTTATACTATAAGATATATAACTAGCTCAATCATGTGTTACTTGTGTGTTTTTAGTATAATTAACGAAATTAGCTTTATAACCTTTAAAATAGTTTCTCTTATGCCATTTTTTTGGCACTCACATAAAATAATAGTTATAGCAGTTGAAACCAAATTCTCAGTACCTTATGATGCACTGATCACAGATTATGACTTTGACAGATATTTACGAGATAAATGTAACCTTCTTTATTCAAGATCTGATTTACTGTTGAAGAAATCAATTTATATCCTCAATTTTTTTCTGAACTTGAACAAGTAGATACAACTATCAAAATTAAATTCCCGGATCGTGCAAACAAAATCTAAGCATTGAAAACAATTACTAACTAAAAATGGATATTACTACCTACATCTCTATATACGCTATCTTCAGGACGGAATGAGAAAACCTTACCTGAAACCTGACTGCACGAACAAATAAATAACTCACCACGCAAATTCCATAATGTACGTGTGTTAGTAGAAACAGGGCTGATAGCAGATGGAGAATGATGGCTTCCAGATGAGGTTGATAAAGGGATGTTATCATCCCTCCTAGCAGAGGCCAAGTCATCCATGACAGTAACTCGCATCTACTGTGGCTCATCTCAGCAATAATCAGTCGGCACTGTGAAACGTAATATAGGATTAGATTGCCAGTCATAATGCGCGATTTTCTTGACAAACCAGCGTACGGATCGCCGTATAGCAAGTAGCCACAGGCACAGCCTGCAATATACACCTGCAATACCGAGTTACAAATGCGTTGTCAGCCTTTTGGGGATTGAAATTCCTGGGGATTATTGGATTTGATTAGAGGATTTGAGAAAATTGGGAGAGTTTGTGAGTTTCTTTTTTAAAATGTGAAAAGAATGAGTTTCGTAAGTTTGGGATGCCGCAAGGAATTATACTAGGGCCTAAATATATGCAATTTGTAATAATATATGTATATTTTTTTAATTTTCTGTTATTCATATTTCTAGTAACTTAAAAATAAAACGGCATGATTATTTATCTTTTAATGGTAACATAGATGGCGCCTGTAACTCATAGTCTAAGTTCAACAAAATACTTCGGTATTTCGTTACATGTTTTGTTATTTAAATCATTCTGGACTTTGTACTGTAAAGCAGGCTACATGTATGTACCTATATAGGAATGTCTATTTACTTAACGTAAGATGGATTTGTACGGGCTTATCAAGGTTGGAGTTCCAAACCTACGTTGTATTTAAAAAAACATCGAATTCGATGCGATCTGTGATTAATAAGATTTTTGTTATTTGAAGTGAGTTTGTTATAAATAGGCCTGTTATATTTGGCAGTTTATCATTGATCAAAAAACAGATGTTTCATCTGAACACTCGAATTTTCCTCGATACTTGCTACCAATGCCACCAGGTAAGCATAAAACAAAGAAATTCCTTTTGAATTTTTCACAATTTCTCTACACTGATATGTGAGTCAGCGTGTAATAGGAGTCGGCTGTAAATACCACTGTCAAAAACACAATTAGTTGGCTCAAGATTGTCATACAAAAATAAGACAATGGCAGACACATTTTCTTCTAAATTCTATTTTCTATCGTAACCTTTACATTGAATTTGATCTCGCTAGTCTAGTTGTCGTTGTCACATCTGCAACTGTCAAGTATGAAGTCGTTCGATGGTTCCGTCCACAGTTACGTCACGTCGTGGTGTGAAAAGCCACCGTAGGAGACGCTCCGAAATTCGGGGATCGAGAGAAAATCTCCCGACCCCAGAAGCACGGGGGTGCGGACGGCGAGAAAGGGTAGCTCGCCGCCTGACCAGAACCAGGCCCAAGCGTACGTAGCGATCCCCGCGTTTCTTTAAAAGCCATTAGACCACCACCGATGGGGTCTAACAAGGCAAGGTTGCGGGGCTAGCACAATAAGGGTACCGCAATCTTGGCCTAGAGCACGAGAAAGAGAAGGGTGGTTTTCAGTCAGTGAGAGCCTGACACTCCCTCATCCTACCAAAAAAAAATTTAGATTTTTTTCCAACCATAAGAAACATACTTTTAACATGTTCTTTTGACAAAATAATGCTCTAAATTGTAGTACTACAAAATATACAAGTCCCAATTACACCACTCATATTGGTGATTTGGATTATTACCCGTATACTTTGTCCAGGTATTTAGGAGATCAAATTAATTAAAGTTTGATCGGCACTTTACTTAATCTGAATGAAAACACAGCATTAATGCCAAATAACATAAGAATTTATCTTCAACAGTCTTCAGTCGGCAATCAATAAGAATTTAAGTGTTGAAGAGCCATGCTTCGGCACGAATGGGTCGGCTCGACCAGAGACCACGGCCTAACTGAAAACCTCAGCGTGACACAATCATAGTGTTGTGTTTCGCCGTGTGACTGAGGTTATCGGGCGCCCAATCCTTTCCCTCCCCCAATCCTTAAATCATCAAAACCCTAATCCCCAAAAGGTCAGCAACGCACTCGTAATTCTTCCATATGTCCATGTGCGGCGCAGATTGCTTACTATCAGGTAATCCGTAAGCTAGTTTGCCATCCCATCAAATAAACAAAAAACTATCGCTAGCTAGAAGTACTTACAGAAATATTACTAAAAAGCGTTCCAAACATGAATATAAAAGCTCTTGGGTAGACTTCGATGACATTGTTAGGTGACATGACAGCCCAATAGACGGTAGCACCAGTCATCACCAACATCGACCAGATTGGCTTCGTCGCCTGCAGGATGGGGTACCTTTTCCCTGTGCGGTTTTTATTTGACCTGCAACAGATGACAACGTCAAAGAGCTGATTGGCTAGCCACCGACTTAACTGTGCAATCATATTAGGATCACCTTTTGGTCTTACACACAAAAACATTTACCTTAAAATTTATATGAAAACTAAAACCAGCTTCCACCCACGGCTTTTCCTGCTTGGTATGCTGATGAAAATTAGCCTACGTCCTATTCTGGAGTGTATCCTATGCCTGTGCCAAATTTCAACCAGATCCGTCCAGCTGTTTTGGCGTGATTGAATAACGAACATCCAAACATCCAAAAATCGTAACTTTCGCATTTATAATATTAGTAAGATGACTAAGTACCTGATAGTATTACTGATATATCGTATATCAATACTCACAAATAAACATTATAAACAGCAACAGGGTAGGTAGTGATGAATCCCATGCAGTGTATGACCATTTCTAGCGCCTTGGTAAATGTGACGTCACCAAACACGTAGTACTTATAGAACTCCGGACCGTACGCTCCTGCGAATAGGAACAGTAGAGCACTGACCTGGTAAACAAAATTGTATGTGTAGGTTATAGAGTTTGTTTTAGATTGCAGTTGGTGACAGTTTTGAATTGTAGCCTAATAGATTTAAAAGTGTCTTAGTTGCAAATTTCTCTCTTATTCCATTATAGTAAGTTACATATTAGTATGGAAGAGTCTTGATTCATGGCAAATGCATCGGCTTGACCAAAGTGATTTACGGTTTTGCCGTGTGAACAGAGATATCGGAGGCCCAAATCACCTCTGCTCAGACGCATCACCACATCCCAGACCTGCAATCTACCAATAACCAGAACCTCAGAAGGTCGGCCATTTACTTGCTATTCCTCTGGTATTGCGGGTATCGATGGGCGAAAAGACATTTCGTCTCTTGGAAAGTCGAGCTAAGCTAACTAAAATGTTGGGAAGGAGCCCATATACGAGTGAGTATAATCTTTGAATGAAGCAAAATTTAACGCTTATACTGGGAATTACGCTATGTAAAACATGAAGTTAAGTACCCAAATTGCCTGCCAACCACAGGGATTATGGAAATAGTTGACTCAAGAAGCATTAGTCGCTTTTCAGCTGATGGTAATGATGATGACGATGATAGGGAACTATATTCTTCTATAGATTACAAAATACATACCCACATACTGAGATCGTAGCTCCACGGTAGATATAAGACCCCAGTGTTGTACTTCTCACAATGGCTGACGTAGAAGTTCATAACAACGCTGATAACTATTAGAAGGCCCCTAAAAATGAAATTAACTAATTATAACCTATTAATTTCGCACCGACATGAATAACCGCCTCAATCCAAAGTCTTGGATTGAAATAGATTTTTGAAGTATAGAAAGCTAAGCTTTTTTTAGTGTCCGGAATTGAATCCGAAATCCTGAATCGAGTCAAATGAATTGCATTAATATTAAAAAAAAGTGTCGTAAAATCTGTCTGTAAATCTGTGCCATAGGTCGTCCATGACAAAGCAGATCTTGATAATAAAATTGTAAAAATGTTAGAGTACATTAACATTACATGTCTAATAGATCAAACTTAACATACAATGCACATACAAAACAATTATAAAGTTATTTTACCTTAAACAAGATACGGAATACTCCTGGTCTCGTCCATACACGGAGACTATGGAATAGGGCACCAGAAATACAATGAAGGAATCCAGCCCGTGATCGAACAGCTCGCCGAGCGGCCCCGATACACCGATGCGACGAGCTTGCTTGCCGTCGATACCATCTGAATGTTATGCATTCCTGGTTATTGTAAAGGGGAGATGGCATTTCTTTCTGGGTGTAGAGAAAAGTATAAGGGACGCCACATTTATTATAAATTAAGCTAATTGTTTGCAGCACTTTTCAATAAGCTTCAATTTATAGAACTGTGATATCCGTAGCTCATTTCATGCTTGAATATTTTGGCGTAATGTGCGTAGGTCCAGAGTTCAGTAGAAGGCTTTCACGGGCTATTGATATTGTGCTTTATTGAAGTATTAGGTACCATAGCATCAAAATCTCGCTTAACTTGGAACAAGTTGTACTAATAGTCACTTCTATATTATTCTTTGGCCACACTTACGGAAAATGCCATTAATTATCGATAAAGGATAATCGTAGGTGAATTTGATCACTGCACAAATGACTTAAGGTATATTTTTCATTGCTTAATATCATCAATTATAGCGATAATCATTGGCATATCTGGTTAGTGTGGTCTCTCTAAAGGCGAGAGGGTAGTAATCAAGCGACTTCTTCCCACCCTGGGTAGAACATTGCAGTTCAAAAAGATCAGTTCAGTTTATATCAAATATGTTATTTAACTAAACCCTAAACTTTATGATAGCCAGCACGCTTAACAAATTTGAATTTAACAGTCATAGCAATAAAAACTAGTTTTAGTCAGAAATGTCAGTAGCAGAGGTTCTACTAAACAATCTAATGCAATAAAACTATTTATTCTCGTTGTAACTGCTGAATCATTTGACCTTGAACTTGGTTCCACGTGTGATGACTCAGTAACGTAAAGTGTGTGTCTCTATGTGTATAGTAATTTGTATTAGCCGATCTAGTTTTGAACCTTAGCAGCGGATGCCACGGATCTGCGGTCGGCGAGCAAGGGTCGCATAACGCCGGACTAGAACCAGACCTGAGCGTACCGAGCGAAGCTTTCCTGGCGGGCTCATAACGATGCAATTTACAGAACGCTACTCCCCGCTCTCTGTGTAATGACTACTTGATCAGAGTGGGATTTTACATCCACGGGGTGGTAAAAAGGAATAAATTACACTTACCTAAATTATAAGCCAAGAAGATCAGCACACCGCACATTGTAAACACCCAGTTTGGCACTTCACTGTCATAAGCCACCATTCCTGGCCGTCCCCCGACAGCGTAGAAGTCATAATCGTACACTGTTAGAGTGACCACCGCTATCACCATGCAGAGAAATCCAGCAAAGGTTATTAAATTCGGGGCTATCGATTTTGGTATAAACTGTAAAAGAATTAAATTACATTAATGTGGGAGTATTTTGTGGTAGCCCGGAGGTTTAGGTAATCAAGGCATCTCATACATGAGGGTGCGGCTTCCAAAACTGGCAAGTACCAATGTGACTTTTTTATGTATTAGGTCGAAGCAATCAGAGTCATGGACACCCGCAACGGAGGAGTTACGAGTGCGTTTCCTAACTTTTAGGAATAAGGGTTTTGGAGAGAAATACGGGGAGGGGAAGGATGTAACTCGGAAATAGTCCCGATGTATATGGAGGCCTACCATTGGGACTTTTTCCGAGTTACATGTACTTTTTATGATTATTTAGATACCTCTAACATACGGTGAAGGAGATCATCATTAGGAAACCTGGACTAATTGTTTCTGTACATAAGTTTGAAATCGCAAATCCTTGGGCAGCGTAGTGATTAATGCAAGACAGAAAACACAATCAGTAGTGGGCACTTATAGGCTGATAATGATGATGATGTATGTGGGAGAGCCAAGAGTCATCTCAATCATGTCACGAAACAACGCAAGAGGTGTCGCACGCTGGTTTCCAATGAGGTCTTTCAGCTAGCTAATTCGTGCTGCATTTTCATGAGTTTTGAATTTTTGACACACATTAACCAACTTTTAAAAAAGATTTTTTGAAAAGATTATAAATATGTTGGACGTTGTAACTTACTTTGACGACAGTATTCCATGTCGGATGCATCACATATTTACTGAGAGGGCTTGTGTCTATAGCACTGTACTGAAAAAAACAAATTACATTATGTACCCTTATAATCAAAAGATTTGATCTTAATAGGCATTAAAATATTTCTGATATTAGCTTAGATCCGTAGTTCACTAACCACAAGTATAACACGGTAATTTTTTTCACAAAACAGCAGTAAGCCCGAATCTACAAAATCATCGATATATAATGAAAACACCAAAACACCGAAGTTCGGCGCGTCCTAGGGACGTCTTAGTGTATTATTAAGAAAATTTTAAGTTATATCTACCAATTTCACTGTATTTCACTATATTAAGAAAATAAGGTCACAGAGAGCACCCCCATGATTATCCTATATATTTGGTTGATGTCCAACGCATCAAAGGTTCTACTCCTGCTTTGAAGGAATCTTTCTGTGAAACACCAATTATATTGTTCCGGATCCGATTTTATTTTTGGTGGGAAAATCATCAAACAGCTTATCCCGTCCTAGACCACCTAAGTATTTGTTTTAAGAAAACTACCTTTTCTAAAGAAACTGGTTAACAGAATACTGTACTTACCTTATACTTATTGAATCCTTTTATCTCTGCTTTACTTAAATATTTATAATTGAACATTTTGAACACGACCACCTTTAAACTATTTCTGAAACACAATACAATTAAAAAAAATACTATAATTATGTATAACAATCAAACAGTTAACTATGAGAAAAAAATAAATACAATAGTGAATAACATAATAACAATAAATGTGTAAAGTACCTATGTAACATTTTTTTTTGTATATATACACAATTACGTAATTTTTTGACTTATTCAAATTTGACATTGTGACATGTATTTTTTTTCTGATATACCTAGTCGTTAAAAAACAATGGTGGATGAATAGTCTATTATAGAATTGATAAGCGACTACTATATAGATATCATTGTAAAGATTTTCATAAAAAAACTTTGATTTTTTAGTAAAAAATAATTAATACTTTTATTTACTACCATGATTTAAAAGTTGTATTCAAAGATAAGTATAGAGAGGAAAATATTCATGTAGATTTTATTTAACAAAAACCTTTTTTTTGAAATTTGTCTTTTGAATTTACTATATACTGTATGATAAATGACAAAATAAAGTATAATAAAATACAACTGGAATTTGTGACGAATTTTTTATTCAACACTAGCGACCCGCCCTGGCTTCCCATGGATGCAATGCTGACACTAAATTTCATTACTATTTAATGGATGTTATTAAGAATACACATATGTATAAACCTTCCTCTTCAATGTGTCTATCTACAAAAAAAAAAGTTTTTGGGCTGATGTTAATTGAGGTATAAAATTGTTGCTGTCACTGTCTTATACAAACATTCCGACGCGACAGCATCATAATTATTCCTTAGGTAACTTACATCTTACCATTGAAAAATTCGAACCAACACACTCATGCATGAGAAGCGGGCTCTCACGACTAGCCAGTCCAGTCGGTCAGTCCACCTGACAAAAACTATTAGACTTAAAAATAACAGTAAATAATAAAAAAACTTTTTACATAAAACCCATTACACAAAATATTTTTACGAGCTGACGCTACGCTAAGCAAATGGTAATTAGGTACGCCTGGCCGCATAGGTAGTACGCTTCCAAACAAAGAGCAAACTAATAAAAAAAAACAATATAATCTTTTAGGTTCTATGCTAAGATTTATTTAAGACACGACTGACATACTGTGGAAGAAACCGTTGTAAGGAAACATTAACTTCTGATATCGCCAATAGGCCTTGAGCATGTTGATCGAAATGCCTTTGCTCAGCAGCGGGCACTTAATGCTGATGATGATGATGAAAAATCTTTGACTATAATATCAGTCGTCTACGTTGAGTAGATTTTCCAGGAACTTTTTTAGGTTAAATATGAAATTAAAAATAGAGAGCAATTGAAGCTTTTGTATTTATCAATGGACGAAAGTTAATTAAGCCAACAATAACTTGTTAAAGAATGTGCCATTGATACGTTTAACGGGTAGTGCTACCACATAGGTACTAAAATATGCACGTACGTAACTAACTACACACATATTTTATGTTTCAATTTATATGAATAAAAATTATTTACTTGGGCACATAGAATATGAAAATTGAATGATTATTATAACAAAGTAAAGAAAGTATGGAGTTGTATTACCTAATATTAAATTTAAATTAATAAGTACATAAATATGTTTAAACTCAAGATTAAAAACTTATACCTCGTGTAGTCAAAAATATTAAATAATATGTTTGCTGATCTAGATATATTGTTAGTACCTACCTATAACTCTAGATCTTACACTAGGAAATATATCAAGTTCTAAAAAATATAGTTACCTATGTATATATAACTCATGTTTTGTCTTAAGTAACGAATAATAGGCAGTTTGGATGGATAACTGGCAAATTTGAGCAAAGTAAAAAAGTTTGTCGAAGAGTCCAAATACTAGGAGTACAGAATTCTATAGCAGTATTTTAACTATGTACTACAATTTTATCATATGTTAAACTCAAAAAAAATACGAAAACACAAACTTACAATGCTAGAACAACACTCACAAAAACTTCAACTTAAAACACTCGATACACCAAAAATATCACTTAAAACTTAATTGAAAAAACCTATTTTATACACGAAATATAATATTAAAACATTGTAATCTGTTACCGGATAACAACTACTAGGTAATACTGATAATTTTATTACAAATATCTGGCCGACACACATCGTATCTTCGCCACCCTAATCGGTGAAGCGATGGGTCATAGATTAAGAAATTTTGAAGAAGCGGCGCGACGCGTTAACTTTGTAGATTCAATTTATTTGTTTTTTTTTTCGGTGATGAGAAAATCATCAGATGACTTCTCCTATCCAGGGTTCGGCGAGAGGGAGTGGCAGATTCTTACTAATAGGTCGTCAAATGAGCAGACGAATTACCTAATGGTAAGCAATCAGCGCCGCCCATGGACACTCGCAACGGAGGAGTTACGAGTGTGTTGCCGACCTTTTAGGGATAAGGGATTTGGAGATTTAGGGATTGAGAAGGGATTGGGGAGGGGAAGGATTGGGCCTCCGCTAACCTCACTCACACGGCGAAACATAACGCTGTGGTTATTTCACGCTGGTTTTCTTTGAGGCCGTGGTATCACTCCGGTCGAGCCTACCCATTCGTGCCGAAGCATGGCTCTCCCACACTTGTAGTCGATTTATTTTTATTTTATTTTAGTCTTGAATCGTGTCCTTACACTTTACACAGCAACGCAATTACCTAGGCACTTACCATTTCAAACCTAATTTTTTAGTTAATATTTTTTATTAAACTTGCAACACGTAAATGCGTTTTTACGATTCCATCTTCACAGATACATGTTAACATGTCTGTTTAAAAATAAAATTATCTATTGCATAAAAGTATGATATTTATAACCTAGTTGTGACGGATAATTCTGTTAGATCTTATCTTCTTATAGTTATTATACATATATACTCTTTGCTTATCTTAGTGAGTCACTGGAACGGTTTTATATAAAATTTATAATGAACCTAACTTGACGATTATTTGAATTTAATGTTATCAGTTTGATAAGGGAATCAGACTGTGACAGGTGACTGTTGACTCTTGAATGAGGTTAGATACGACATAGCACATTACGCTATTTTTACACCATCCATAGCTAAAGAAGTTACTTAAAACTATCCTATGTCCTTTCTCAAGTTCCAAACCATGTTTGTACCAAATTTCACACAAATAGGTTCAGTAGTTTAGGCATGAACAAAAGACAGACAGACAGACAGAGTTACTTTAGCATTTATAATATTATTTTGGATTTGGATTGTGGCTTCTGTTTGTTCAAGAAAATGGTAACGTGTAATAAATGAGCCTTAAAGTTTTATTGTTAAGTCGAAAATACTACTCTGTCAAGAAAGTACCGGGAAAAAGTCAATAATACACAAAATGTTTGTTATTCATCTAAATTTATTTTATCACCTTCAAAGTATGCTCCTTCAGAAACGATACACTTACGCCTACGAATAATCCAATCATCGAAACTTTTTTTAAACGCTGTTTCCGGAATTGAGTTCAGTGCTCGCCGCGAATTCTCCTTTATGTCTTCTAACGATTGAAAACGGGTGCCACGAAGGGGTAATTTCAGTGTGGGAAAAAGAAAGAAGTCGGCTGGAGCCATATCTGGTGAATATGGTGGCTGCTCGGTGGTGTTTGTTGAGTGTTTGGACAAAAAAATCGTTTACAATGATGGCTTTGTGCGAAGGCGCATTATCGTGATGCAAAATCCAAGAATTTTCTTTCCACATTTCTGGCCTTTTTCGTCGAATTTGTTCTCTTAAACGCCGCATAACGCTCAAATAATATTCTTTATTTACCGTTTGACCTTCGGGCAAGAATTCTGAGTGCACAACACCGCGATAGTCAAAGAAAACAGTCAACATGACTTTGACTTTTGATCGACTTTGACGTGGTTTTTTCGGAAGCTTGTTGACTAGTTTGCATGTCAAACTCGTAAACCCACGTCTCGTCACCAGTAACAATGCGTTTCATGAATGTTGGGTCGGTATTGACTCGTTCTAGCATGTCCTCAGCGACTTTCATGCGATTTAGTTTTTGAAAAAAATTCAGGTCTTTTGGGACTAGCCGAGCGGCAACACGTTTCATACCCAAATTATTTGTTAAAATGGTACGGATCGACTCGTGAGATACAGAAAGTTCGGCGGCCATCTCTCTCAAACTTGAATGAGGATTTTCAGTCACTATTTCCTTCACTTTTGCGATGTTAACTTCAGTTGCAGACGTTGATGGCCTACCAGAACGAGGCAAATCTTCCATCACATCTCGACCGCTTTTGAACGCTTTGTACCACTCATAAGCACGTGTTTTTGATAAAGTCGATTCACCGTAAGCCTTCTGTAACATTTTGAGTGCCTCCGAACACGAAATTTCATTGGCGATGCAAAATTTACGACAAACTCTTTGTTCGATGTTTTTGTCCATTATGAAATTCGCAATACACACTAGATATTATAAAACTAAAAACAGCACTGTTTTTAATATAAAGAACAGATGCAACTCAAATTTCGCGCCAAAATGGAAAACAGTTATGCCAATCTAACAACAACAAAAAAAATTAAAATTCGAATTTGGAACCATAAAAAAAACATTCATTCCCGATACTTTGTTGACTGAATGTATAATATATGTAGTACGTCTAAATATACATATAATTATATTATAGTTATTTCTACCTATTTATACTTTAATGTTAATGTAACATACTATATATATGTAACGTTATGTTCATTCATAAAATTTTATTTGCTTTTTTTTCGTATGACTTGACTTTCGAAAAGTACGTTTTTTTTTTGTGAGGGGAAAATCATCAAATGACTTCTCCCGCCCAGGGCCGGGCGGGAGGGAGTGTCAGACTCTTACTGACTAAAAACCACCCTGTTCCTTCTCCCGCTCTGGGCCGAGGTCGCGGTGCCTCATTGCGCTTACCTCGCAACTCCGGCTGAACCTCAGCCCTTTAGGGCCCCGTCTGTGGTGGTCTATTGGCTCTTTGAGAACGCTACGCGCCGTACGCTTCGAAACGTAAGTAACGTGGCTAGGTGTTAAAATATTTCAATACACTTGTTCATATATGTAAGGTATGAATGCGAAACATAATAGAATTTTCATTCGTATTTTTATTGCAAAAAAAAATATAGGCAACGTGGTTTAAAATATACTTTTTTAAACTACTCAATTTCTTAAATTAAGTTATTATATTTTTTGTGTCTGATCAATTTTTAAGCTTGCTTATCTACGCTTTTAAACTAATATTATAAATGCGAAAGTAACTCTGTCTGTCTGTCTATCTGTGTCTTTTCTTCATGCCTAAACGACTGAACGGATTTGTGTCTTTGGTACAGACATAGTTTGGAACTCGAGAAAGGACATAGGATAGTTTTAAAACCAAAAATCAACATAATTATATCACGAAGGCGAAGTCGCAGGCAGAAGTTAGTAGTAAAATATATGCTATTTTAATAGCTATGCAATGTCTGTCTTACTTTAGCATATTATATATTAACTTGACGCGTTGCAATGATGATTTGCATAAAATTGTCTTCCAGGTCTAGGTGTGATGTAAGTGTGAATTTATATGTTTGCAAACGCACCCACGGCCTAAACAGAAACCTAGTGTTTATTTAAAATCTGCGTTCATTCTAAAAAAGCCTTAACAAGCCTATTGTATTTATTTTTAAGAATCTCGGGTCTCATGAGTTTTTCAAATTTTTATTTTATTTACCTAAAATAGTAACGAAAATACTCTGATAAGTATCGTATTTCTTTAATCTTTGGTCCAATATTTGAACTTTGACATTATGTCGATAAGAATGTTGAGATTTATGTCTATATGTTTATGATGCTTTTGTTGCCATTTAATCGTCTAATATGCGTTGAATAATTCAAAAATAAACAATACATTCATTTCTGAACACGATATTTTTTTATTGGTGAAAATCATCAAGTTACTTATCACGGCTAGGGTGGCGAGAGCGAATGGCAGACTCTAGCTGACTAAAAACCTCCCCATTCCTTCTCTGCTTTAGGCCGAGGCCACGGTACCTATTGCCTCGCAACCCCAGCTGAACTTCAGCCCATCATCCGTCCAGTTGGGCATCATCCACGGTGGACATAATTAGAATTAAAATAAAAAACAATCAAAAGAAGGAAGGAAGCATTTTTCAATATATTTTCTACAAGGACCAGGAGATCATAAAGCGTAAGTAAGTATGCTAATATTAATACTACGTGAATGTTATTGTAATCTATCCATCTACCTCAGCGGCAGTCATAATTCATGTCACAGAGCAGAGCTCACATTCGACAAATTAACAGATGTCTATTTTTACGTGTCATATATCATAGTGGCGAGAATTAATGCCAGCTTCCATTGCACCAATGCATCAATTAACTGGTGCAAAATGAGTGGGCTAATTTTTATTAACATGCCTTGTCTGGCTATTAAATTGGCAGACATGTTCGGTCTGGTATGCAGAATTTGAATTGCATGATGGTGAAAAATTATTAAAATCTGACGTAGGCAGACACTTTTTAGCGTAGTGTTTATAACTGAATATGTTCCTAATCTATTTTTTTATGAAATTGGAGGCAAACGAGCAGACGGTTCACCTGATGTTAATTAAGTGATCAGCATCGCCCATGGACGCCTGCAACATCAGAGGAGTCCCAGGCGCGTAGCAGGTTCTGTTAGTGCAAATTATAGGCGTTTTTTGTTTTTTATAGGATTGTTTGTTACATGGTGCTGAAGTGTCTGAGAAGTTTCAAATATAAAGGGAACTGTACTCTTCTCCTTCTGTTTAGACAATATTTATTATCAACATACATGAGTTGGATTGTTGTACGACAGGGACTTGACTATGAACGTACCGAAGGCAACTACTCGTAAGACTCAATGTTGTTGTTGTTGTTGTTGTTATTGTTGTTGTATGAACATGAGTTCAACAACATTATGACGATTTCTTTTTCGTTTTTCCCGTGAATTTACCCAAATCATTACTCTCCTTAAATCATAATTATAATGAAAAAAGTACTAGGGCCACAGAAAAATATAGAGCTATTTTGTTTGTCCCAGATAT